CGACAAACCTAGAAATGGCTCATCCGGAGCAAAGAGATTCTTTTTCAGTATTTTGACAACGAAACTGAGTGAGGTATGTGTAAAAGGAAATTGAGCGGATATATGCAGATCAGATTTTTTGGAGAGATCTATGTCGAACGTCTCATGAGAAGTGCCAAGTGAAAGGTGAAGAATTTGCTGAAAAATTTTCCATTTAAAATATAGCAGTTCATCTGTAAGCTGATAATACAATACCGAGGAAGAGTCCAAAGTTTTTGTATTGAAATTTTTGACGTTCATTACGTCGATTAACAACCGACCAATGATCCTCCCACTTACAAGTGATTTCTATAAGGAAAAAAGCCTTTACTGCCGTATAAGTGCGTATTGAGCTGTGTCTAGGACTGCACGTTCAGCTCCGTGCCAGCGTCGTGCCGGAATGTCAATTGATCACTATAGCACGCATGCACGTGGGTTCGACACGGCGATAGCAAGGCGCTGACACAGCTTCGGCAATCAACTCTAAACGCTGCCTTAGTAACCCACAACCTGTCCATGTTGCTGTTCCGAAACGGTGATGGCATAAACATCGATGGCTTGCTCTAACTGAGTTTTCCATAAACGACGTGCATTGCTGCTAATACATCGCAAGCAAACGGTGTCATTTCCTTAAAAGAATCGATGTTTACAATTTCGCTGTGATGTTTACTGTGGGATATACGTATTCAGATAAGAAGCGAAGACTTACCACTTTGGATATTCAAGCTAACATCATCATTTGACGGAAGGATTTTGAGGTCTGCTAGCGGAATTGGTTGCTTATAGAGCGTAAGGCGAGTTTCCGTAGTTTTCGAGATCTTGAAGGAGTTTGGCTAAATACAAAATGAGAAATTATGTGAGGAATACAGTGACATGAGGGAACTCCCTACCTCAGGCAGATGCTCATCCGGAACAGTCAGCATGAGAAAGTCATTGAAAAGAAGACCAACCAAAAGGCGGCCACTACGTTGTTTGTAGAGCACTCCGGAATGTAGAAAGGACCTTTTACCCTTGAATATGACATATAAACGAGACAATACTGAACTACGACCTAACTCACCACTGATCTCGTATTTGAAGTGAAATTTATTTTTAGAGAAGATGGGCACTTAACATGAGACTGTGCCCAGCAAAGGAGAAACACGTTCTCCTCCTCAGTAACGGCCCGATTCACTTCGGAAACAAGCGCTCGTAGAAGCTGTAAGGCGGTGTCCAATTCCTAGAAAAAAACTAAGTGTTAGCGACGCAATCAGACAATGTGGAGATAGATACCTGGTGTAATGCACTTTTCGGATCACACTCCTTGAGAATTTTCTCGACCAATAATGGATACCTAAAAAAAACTCTGGTCGCTATTTATGGCTAGATAAAAAGTCACAAAGCACACAGAGCTTTAGCGTAATCGAAAATTTTCGAGAACTCTATCACTCTATCAGATCCTGCGTGATTGCATCTACTACTTGTCGAGATAGGGACTTCTCTATGAGAAAAACGCTGTTGAAAAGATAATGCAGAAGCATTTTCTCAGGCTGCGTTCAGAATTGCGCGCCAGAGCCGTGTCAGTGCCGCGCCAGCGCAAGTGGCGCGCATCGTACTGATCAACGGAGCTCGCACCACAACACTTGGCACAGACAACCGTGGACGCAGCCTCGCTGAAAGGCGGAATTTCGCCGAATTTCAGTGAAATCGAGATTGAAAATGCAGCCACAGCCTTAGCACTGTTCGCAAGTTGTAGAAGGCGTCTTCACTTTTATGGATAAAATCATACTGAAGCGAAAACTGAATACACATACCGAGTAACTCGTCCCAAAGGCATCAACAAAAACG